GGGGGACCTCCCCCACGGGAATGGGGGTTGAGGGGGGCGGGGGCCATCCCCACGCGGGGGAGAGACTGTCCGGGTGCGCCGTGCCCCCCATGGAGCGGGGCGGCGAACGGTTAAGGGGCGGCTGGGTACTGTGTACCCTCTTAATTACTCGCCTTTGTTGGCTGTCTGCACTTGGTATCTGCCTCCGGAATAGAGGTAGGCACACTCTCGCTCTGAACAATTGCAGCAGCAAGCTCGCACAGGGCAGACGAATACACATTGTTTTTTTAAAAAAAAATTCTGAATGGGAAGGCTCTTTTATAAAACACTAGAATGGGCAGGGAAACGAGCGAGAGACAAGTTAGTGGTGAGGGTTTTTTTCGTTCCTGGAGCTAAAAGGAAGAAGCGGTGAGCAAACAGCCGTGCCCACTCGTTCCGGCTTGTTATCCGGCTTACCTCATAAGCCCTCTATTCACTGCGCAGGGCTGGACGGCACGGTTGTTTAGGTTCATTCAAAGGCCAGTGTGGGGCAGATCGTCGAAAAGCCGCAAAGACGATCTGAAATTAGACTGCCAAAGAAACGACGCTGCAGTGTGTGTACAGAAATTGTTGTTCCTGTCTCCTTTCGTCAAGACAGTGCGCTCACAACAATTCATCAAATATCGCAACCAACAAAATATTGTTTGTTTTTTTCCGAACCTACCCCAACACAAACGGAAAGGAAGAGAATTCCACGTCTCGCCGCCGCAGACCTCTCTCCCGCTCCCTCCCCACCACCCCTTCCGACACTCTTGCCCCCCCTCCACCCCCTCCCCCGCTCTCCTACGAGCGGACGAAAGAAAAAAAAAAGCAGTAGCGTGAGAAAAGAAATAACAAAGCTCGTTTTGTGTTTGCAGATGGGCGCGGCGGCCCCATGATGCGGGTCCCGGAGCACTGGGCCTGGACCCGAGCGGAGCGGGCCGGCGGGCAGGAGGGGGCCGAGGAGCGTCCGGGCCCCGGCCTGGTGGACGCCGTCTGGAACGCCACGGCCCCCGGCGCAGAGGACGATGACAGCGGCCGCGACGAGCGTCTTGCGCAGGTGGGTTGGCTACACTGTCAATAACAAGGAAGACATAATTTTATTTAAAAAATCATTTTTTGTATTTTTGGTCTTTATATCCCTTTAACGGTTAGACATAGAGTTGAAATTGTAACTAAATAGGTTAACTTAAATTTAAACAATAATTTTAAATTTTAGTTTACGCCTATTCCAGTGTACAGTTTACTCTATCATTTTAAGGGATTTAAACATAAAAAATTCAAAATTGCAAAATTGTTAAGAGTACATGCTTTGTTTAACACTTTCCCTGCGGCGTGACCACCCCATGTTAAATCATAGGCACCGAAAATTAGCCGCAGGGAACGGAACGTGTTAAAATAAGCTTTCTTGCATATAAGCAATAAGATAAGAACATTTTTATTTTGCCAAAGCTGTTGTAAATTTCATGAATGACGATATTTCTGCTCAACACAATAAGTAAAAAATCAACATAATTTCCTATCCATGGTAATCTGTGAACATATTTCACCGTGCCAGCCCCCGTCTCTCCCTGGTGTCGGTGTGCATACCGCGGCGGTATCCCGTGTCACATCGGCTGACTCGGGTATTTTTTTTTCTGGTTGTTTTTGTTTTCACTTTCTGGCTTGCGCGCCGCGCCGCGCCACTCTCGTCGCACCACCCGCATTTTTATCTTTACTGCGCCAGGAAATTAATTAAATGCAATTCGTGTTTAAATAAAATTAAAGCGCCGTGAGAGGGGGTTGGAGAGTAGGAGGGAGGATACGACGGAGCCAAGGCATTCCCCGTCTCAAAGAGATCCCGGTCCTTCAGGGTGGTCCTCGAGCTCGGCGCGGCGCGGCTCGGCTCGGCGGGGTGGAGGACCGCTGTTGCCCTGGAGCGGCAATTCCGTGCGAACTCCGTCCCCTACCTTGCCGGGACCCCCCGCGCCCGCGCGCGTCATCTGTTGCTTTTTGGGGCGCTTATTTTGCTCTCCCCGTGCCAGCGGGCAGTCGCTGCTGGGCTGGGTTCAGGCTGCATGTGAGATTATCTATGTGGCAGCTCTATTCTAGCGCGGGCTTCTCACCCCGACCCCCGCATCTCGGCTAATCCCTCGGCCATGGCCACTCCAATGCAGGGATTTCTATCTGCCCCCCCCCCCCCCCCCTCCCCCCGCCCTCCTCCCTTGCGTCCCAGTCCGTTCAGAAATTCTTTCACATGTTTGGTCTGCATGCCCCCGCCCCCCAACCCTCCACCACGGCGACCCGCATTGGGATCACGGGGATACTATTCTGGCAGCTCCAATCTCGCGGCTTTTTGCGTCGACCGCTCTCTCCTTGCTCTAAAGCCCCCCCCCCCCCC